AGAGAGAGAGAGAGAAAGAGAAAGAGCTTCTTCTTGTTCGAAACAAGACTAACTCGTTGCGAGCAAAGTAAACATTTCAAAATGATATTGATCACGGTTTATTTTTAAAGAGGAAATTGAACGACCAAATGTACGTTTTTTTTTTTTTATACGACAACCGTTAGTTCCAGCATTTCCAGTAGTTGAGCGTTATTCAGCCAACTCGAGCCAAGTGGAACTATCGTTAAAACTGCAGTTTCGGATATTGGGCCATTGCACCGGGTGCAATAAACTGCAGTAGGATCGCAATACTCTTGGCGCCGCGACCGATAACCGGGAAGAAATACGAAATTCCTTTGGTCATTCCCAACGAGTTTCCTCCGCGCACTTGGGCCGTCCAGGCGCACGTGCACGACCGATTGCATAACGCCAGGCGCAACGTATATACACCTCCTCTCTTTGTCACTCTTTTTTCTCTCTATCTTCTTTCCTTTCTTTTCTTAAATTTTAAGCCATTTTTTAAATTCTCCGTCACTCCTCTCTCTATCTTCTTTCCTCGTTCCTTTCATTTTTTAAATTTTAATAACCAAGCGAAAGGTGGATCGAAAAAATTTTCTGGAAACAATTGTCGAAAATCGAATTTATATAGGATATTCAACAAGAACACGACGAGATCGATTTCCTCGATTATTATTCAAAATCGATCGCGAAATAAATTTGCCTCCATTTGCCTAAGTAAATATCAAACGAGATCGGGATTATCGGAACGATCATTTAATATGGCTTTTCGTCGTGGCAAATGCGTGTAATGAACACGTGTATCGAAACATGGCGGAAACAGGGCGTAATATTCGTGCAAAGCCGCGCGAAACGCGTTTAATGGACTGTCCGTCAAACCGGACGTCGCCGAGGCGATTTACAAACCGTGTTGAACGAACGTTGGAAAATTTCGCGGTGGTGTAATTGTCGCTGAAAGCACGTGAAACCGATCAGCTGGATTCGACGTACAAACGAATAGAAATAAATATATATATATATATATATATATATATGTATACCACATGTACATATATCGCGAACGATGAACAAAATGAGAGTAAATATTGAAAGTCAAAACGATGGCCGGGGCTCGATTGATCGGATCGCTTTTCGAGAAGATTCGAGTGTGCAGAAGAGGATTTTTTTGTTTCGAATTTTCCCCCTTTTTTTTTCTCCTCCCCCCCATTTTTGCTACGATTGTTTATAGAGGCTTTTGTTCCTATAGGGCTTTGCGGTGGTTTGCGTATCGCGACCCAATAGTACGTTGTTTCGTACTATTTGGAAAGTTAATGGACGATGTAATTTATTCGCGTTTATTTTTCTGCTTCGTTATTTCTACGATTCGAAGTAGTAATTTATCCATTAATGATGCGTACGAGTTGACAGGGTACAAGTTGCAAAATGTATAATTAAACGTAATCAATATCTTCGCGTTCGTATCTTTTTTCTTTTTTCTTTTTTTTTTTATACTCCATTTTATACTTTTACTTTTACGCACAACTATATCTTTATTCGTGCAATAAAACTCGTATCTCTAATAAATGTCGCGTATTACGCAACGATAGAATACGATAATTACGGAGGGAACAGGTTTTCAATAATCCCGAACCCGAACATTTTCACATTCCTTCCTATCTCTATCCCCGATCGATCGGGAATTACCATTTATCTTCTTACAATTGTGTAATTCTTATTTCACCATTCTCCTCTCAATCGTGATTAAAAAAAAAGAAAAAATTACTCGAGAGCGTATTTGAAATGGAAAAAAAAAAAAGGAAACTAAAAAATAGAGAATAATCCATCAGAAGGAAGCGAGCGTAAGTGGCGCGACACTTTTGGTATTTATTTATCGTTTTCTCGCATAAATTCAGGGCGCGCGTCTCGTCCCTTGAAATTTGCAATACGAATATCGCAACGGTCGCATTACGTCGTATAAATTTTCCAGGGGGGAAAAAAGCGATCCTTTGACGAGGATCCTCTCACTCGACGGTATTCGAACATTTTTTCTCTCTCTCTCTTCCCCTCCCCTCTCCCCGCGTCTCTCTCTTCGTCCCACCCCTTTGTAGCCAGATTATACCGCGTCGAAATATCCTCCACCAATCTCTGTCTCGCCATATATATATATAATGCTCGAATCGTTTGACGAAACGATGTTTAACGCCATGGCGAAATCGTATCCTCGCGTGATCCCCGCAATAATGGATTTATCGACGAGATCGATGCCATCGGAAAATATGGAAATGACGAGTTATTGTACACGATTTGTCCTACGATAAATCGAGGGAAGATCGTGTAAACTTTTTGTTCGATCTTTATCATCGTTCATCGATTTCTCGTGTTTTCTTTCTTTCTTTTTTTTTTCCATAGATCGTGAAGAAAGTGGATTGCAACAATCTCGAAAGATTTCTCTCCAATCATCTCTCATAAAATTCGAAAGAAGGCAAAAGGAAATAATTTTCTAATGAATTTTTCAATCACAAAACTCCTCGCTTCCATTAACGCATCAGGGAAAAAGTAATTCGATCGAGTTTTATTGCAATCGGAATAAAAAACACCGGCCTAATTCCCTTCCTTCATCTTCGAAGATGAAGAAAAGATTCCTCTTCGAATCCGAGACCATCCCCCAACTTTTCGAAACTTGATGAAACGTCCCTCTTCATAGAGATGCAAATCGTCTATTTGCACAAAACACGGGAGGAAAATAAGGAAGCGGGCGGCACGATTCCGAATAGTGGAATCGGTTCATCGAATCTGCAACGCTTCCCTTCGATTAATAACTCGAATCATTATCGGGCTATTTGGCACGCGGAGTGGTGGATGAGGGGGCGGACGTTTGGCGGACCCAGTCATCTTTGCCGGGTTCGCGACGAGGGGTGAAACGCGCGTCCCAAAGCGCGTCCCTCCTCCTCCTTCTCCTCTCACCGTGTACGCACGTAAATCAAGTTCTATTCACGAATTCCGATTGAAACCTCAATCAGACGTGATTCGCGCTAAAGGCAACGGGTGGCTCGGATGGCTGACGGGGGAGATAATAGAAAACGTATGGGAGAGAGGGTAGGAAATACGAGAACGGGGAGAAGCGGATGCAAATTGCCGTGATTGACCGGATTCACGGAACGCGTTCGATCCACGATCGCGTACACGACCTTCCATCGTTGTTGAACCAGCTTTGTAAATAAACTGAACGTGCTCAAACTCGCGAGGAGGTTCTCGGAGCCGGAAAAGTCTCGAACCGAATCGTGAATGGGTTCTATTTTTGCGAGAGGAGGGCGACGAGGATACTTTTTTTATTTTCGTGGAAGCTTCTGATCAGAACGGGAAAACGAGACGAAAGATGCTTTTTCTCTATTCTTTGTTTCATTGTTATAGATACATTGTGTGCAAATTACGTGATAATTAGATGAAATTATAGTTGTTGATATCGGATGATCGGATTTTGTTAATTGGATTTGTTAGTTAATAATAATTTTCAAATTATAACGAACGAAATTGAAATTAAAATTATAATCTTCAGAAGTAATTTCATCGAGGTTGGAACGTTCGTTAACGGTGTGAGCGACAATTTAAACAGCTCGCGTTTTTCCCCTCCCCTCGTTTCAAGATTTACTCCGCATTACTGGGGATAACTCGGCCGTCACCTGGCCGCGACATTACAAATTAACCAACAGTCAAGACGTTCTAATAAAACGCGGCCGATACGAGCACGATAACGAGTCACTGCACAGTATAAACTGCCGCAATTGGATTAAACATCTCGTTTTCTCGTAACCGTGTTAGCTCTTTCTATGGCCGACTATAGTCACTCTGCATAAGAGCACCATTGACGTACTACAGGCAACTATAGTCGCTCTGCATAAACTGAGGTATTATGGGCGACTGTAGTCGCTCTG